AAATTTTACATTTAAAAAAGAATTTGAATCTTTCACTCTGTCCATTACATGTTCTTAATATGTGTATACTTAGAAACACTTTCCTACCTGTCCTTATAACTATTCAGTAATATTTTTCCATTTCTCTCACCAAATTACAAAAATTATAAATGTAGCCATTTCTTCTCCTTTGTCCGCCTCCTTAAGACACTGCATTTTCTCAGCTGGTGTTTTCCTCCAGGACTACAGTCAGGTTAGCACCTCCCTTGTAAATTAAACCCAAATCTTCAAAGGGCAGAGAAAAAGAAAGACCGCCTCCTTCTTACAGCAGCCAGTAGGGAAACTGGGGCATCGAAAGTCACGTCCGTCTCAGGAGCTTCTCAGCCCAGCTTCTACAGGAAGATGAAGAATGGGCAGTCCTGTCTCTCCCCTCTAGGGACGGCAGTCCAGGAAGGTTGGGGCTGACTGCTCCCACTGGGTCTTGGACCAGTGGTTTGTTCTTTCCAATCACTGCTGATCCACCAGCCTCCCAGGTCAACTCTCAAGGGAGGTAGCAGAAACAGGAGAAAAAGAGCAAGCATGCTTTAAGCACTATGTGATGTCTATCTATCATCTATCAATTATCCATCTATCATCTATCCATCTATTATCTACCCTCTGTCTATCTACTGTTTATCTCTATGTCAAATATCTATTGTCTATCTACCACCTATCATTTATCTGTCATCATCTATCAATTATCCATCCATCTCTCTATATCTGTATGCTATCTACCGAGAGATCGTCACTTTAGCCGTACCACCACCTTCTACATCGTGTGGCCAGCTATCCCGAAGGCTGTGAGATGCTGGGTAAGATGGATGGACTTGTGTCAGCGGGAGAACAACCCGAAGAGACACAGGTGTGCAGAAAGCAGAGGCAGAGGCCCAGGTGAGCGGTGGGAAGGCAGGGGTGAGGATGACTGGCAGGCCCCACGCTCGGGCTCAGACAGGCCCACTCAGCACCTCCCAGAGAGAGAGAAGAAAGTGGGTGGGATGCCCCCTGCAGGCCTTGCCTCACTCACGCGGCCCAAGCCCTTTTCAACAGTCACTTCCTAGCCTCCCACCCCCCAACACCAGGGGGTCAGGACCACTTTAGAGGAGTGGGAAATTGCTTCTCCCAGGAACAAAGCAGGGAACAGAAGGCTTGGGAGACACTGCATTGACAGATTCCCACCGAGGAGTTGAATTCGAGCTGGTTTTCCCTTCAGTGGAGAGAGGGATAGATGGGGGGCTGTGGTTCGCTGCCTGAGATCCTAGTACCTGCACCCCTAACTGTCATTCAGTCGCTCAGTCGTGTCCAACTCTGCGACCCCACGGACTGCAGCACACCGGACTTTCTTGCCCTTCACTGTCTCCCAGAGTTTGCTCAAATTCAGGTCCGTTGAGTCGGTGATGTCATCCAACCATCTCATCGTCTGGCGTCCCCTTCTCCTCCTGCCTTCAATCTTTCCCAGCATCGGGGTCTTTTCAAATGAGTCAGCTCTTCTCATCAGGTGGCCAAAGTATTAGAGCTTCAGCTTCAGCATCAGTCCTTTCAAGGAATATTCAGGGTTGATTTCTCTTGGAATTGACTGGTTGGATTTCCTTGCTGTCCAAAGGACTCTCAAGAGTCTTCTCAAGCATCACAGTTCAAAAGCATCAACTCCGGTGCTCAGCCTTCTTTAGGGTCCAACACCCTACATAACTACTGGAAAAACCATAGCTTTGACTCTGCAGACCTGTGTTGGCAAAATTACGTCTTTGCCTTTAATATGTTGTCTAGGTTGGTCATAGCTTTTCTTCCAAGGAGCAAGCGTCTTCTAATTTCATGGCTGCAGTCACTGTCTGCAGTGATTTTGGAGCACAAGAAAACAAAATCTGTCCTGCTTCCACTGTTTTCCCTTCTATTTGCCATGAAGTGACCAGATGCCATGGTCTTAGTTTTCTGAATGTTGAGTTTTAAGCCGGCTTTTTTGCTCTCCTCTTTCAGCCCTAACTGTGCGCACCTCTAACTTTGCTGGCTTTTACCTCCTGCAGCACCTCGCTCTGCTGAGGCCTCTCTCAAGGCTCAGAGCAGGGCAGGCAGGAGCTGGGAGCGGAGATGCTGCTTTTGGGGTCCTCCAGCCCTGCTCCGAGGCGCGCTCTGTTCCAGGTGGGGCAGCCGGACTCTCACTCTAGATCTTCCGAGCCCAGGGGCCAGACAGCTGAGCAGCCTCTTATTAAACCTCAAAGAGTTCTTTGTTCTACAGCCGATGGCTGAAAATACAGGGCAGCGTCCCTCAGCTGGTTGCTTGGAGGTTGCTGGGAGAATCCCTCAGCAAGAGAAAAGGGGGTTTGGACCAAGATCACAAGGAGAAGCCAGTTCTCTGCTCTCTGTTCTTCTCCTGGAGAGAGGCTCTGGCCACTTCCATTGAAAGAAAAGAAAAAAGAAAAAAAGCCGAAGAAGCAGGGCTTCCACCTCGCTTCTGGTGCTCATCAACACAGCAGTCACCGGGACTTGAAAACTGCCTGACACTTGGGCCCCACCCTCAGGGACTCAGCCTAATTGAAGTGGGGGTGGGACTCCCCTGGGGGATCTAATATGCCCCCAGGTCGAGGGCCACTTTCTTGTAACTGTGCTTTTACTGTTTACCTTTAATGATGATGGTGGAGGGGTGGATACCCTTTTTCCTCCTTGGTGGGGTGGAGATCAAAAGTCTACCTTTGAGGCCCATGATCAAGGGGTCCTTTGACCTGCTCTGGCCCACAGCAGTTTTATTTTCTGTAATCAGCTCCTTCGAGTGCAGGGCCTCAGGGCGGCAGATGCAAATCTAACTCTCACTAAAGCATCTAAAAAGCAGAGACATCACTTTGCCAACAAAGGTCTGAATAGTTGAAGCTATGGCTTTTATCGTAGTCATCTATGGATATGAGAGTTGGACCATAAAGAAAGCTGAGCTCTGAAGAATTGATGCTTTCAAATTGTGGTGCTGGAGAAGACTCTTGAGAGTCCCTTGGACTGCAAGGAGATAAAACCAGTGAATCCTAAAGGAAATCAACCCTGAATATTCATTGGAAGGACTGATGCTGAAGCTGAAACTCCAATACTTTGGTTATCTGATACAAAGAGCCGACTCACTGAAAAAGATCCTGATGCTGGGAAAGATTGAGGGCAGGAGGAGAAGGGGACGACAGAGGATGACATGGTTGGATGGCATCACCAACTCGATGGACATGAGTTTGAACAAACTCCAAGAGACAGTGGATAGGGAAGTCTGGTGTGCTGCAGTCTATGGATTGCAAGGAGTCAGACACGACTGGGTGATTGAACAACAAAAGCATCTCCCTGCCTCTGAGCTGTTGATGGTTTTCTCTCCACTAATCACAAGCCCTAATTAGAACTTTCCAGGTGTGGTTCCTCCAGCCAAGCTCTCCTTGACAGTCTAAAGCCCCCTCCTTCCCCGACTTCCTTCCTCCAGGGTTTTCTCTGGCCTTCTCTGGACATTTTTAGCTTCCATTGGAGCCTCCATTTGTCAGCAGCCCAATAGAAAACAGAACCTCTTCGGGGGCAGTGGGGACCTTTCAGTCTCCTAGGAACCCTCCCAGGGCTCTTCACAAGACAGATGTTCACTAAGCATTCCATCTTTTTCCTTTTTTTATGGCCAGGCCCTGCGGCTTCCGAGATTGTATTTCCCCACTAGGGATGGAACCCAGGCCCCATGCAGTGGGAGCAGAGTCTTAACCACGGGGCCACCAGGGGCGTCCACATGCTCGTGTGTTTGTATGGGCTCGGTCGCGTCTGACTCTGTGACCCCGTGGACTGCAGCCCGCCAGGCCCCCCGTCCATGGGCTTCTATGGGCAAGAATACTGGAGTGACTTGTCATTTCCTCCTCCAGGGGATCTTCTTGACCCAGGGATCAAACCCATGTCTCCTGCGTCTCCTACAATGGCAGGCAGGTTCTTTACCACTAGCACCACCTGGGAAGTCCAGATGGTCACTAAACATTCTTTACTGAGCTGGTTCTGCAACGCTCATTCTCCTTGAGTTAATTCTCTCTTTCCTGCTTTAGTTTCCTTATCTGTAAACTGGGGATCGTACTCATTTTGAGCAGCTGATGCGAGGATGAAATAAAACGAACAGAACACTTACTCTGTGCCAGGCCATTTTCTCAGTGCTCCCCCTTATGTATATAATTTTATGGATTTATTTTGGCCGTGCTGGGTCTCTGTCGCTGTGAAGGCTTTCCGCTGGTTGTGATGAGTGGGGCGGCTCTTCCTGGCGGCGCACGGGCTCTCCCTGCCGCGGCTCCTCTCGGGGGAGCATGGACTCCAGATGCGGGGGCTCAGGAGCACTGGCTCACCCGTGGCACCCGCGGGCGTAGCTGCTCCCAGGAAAGGGGATCTTCCCCGACCAGAGATCAAACCGGAATCTCCTGCAGTGGCAGGCGGATTCTTTACCACTGAGCCACCAGGAAAGCCCCTAAGTGCTTCGTTTAGATTAACCACCAGGCCCTCACAAAAGGCGCTGAGACAGGACCTGTCCTTACCCCATGTGACCAAAGGCTGCGTTGTCAGCCGGAGGGGTGGGGAGGGCTCCGAATGCAAGGTCGGGCATCGAGGCTTTAGGAACGGGCCTCCTCCTTCCCATCACCCCTCCCCCCAGTCGCCCTGTCTCCCCCTGTTCCCTGCCTTTCTGGATTAAGCCCAGGGGGTTGCGCTTCTCTTCTGAGAAGACTCGTCAAGGCATCGGAAACCTCTCACCTGAGAGATGACGCCTGCTCCCACCTGGAGACGGAGGCGGTGGCTCCTCCGCCTGGAGACAAGCCCGGGAGCGGCGCCCTCCTAGGAGCGGGACTGCCACTGGGTTGGCCCAGCCCCGCGCCCTCCAGCCCGCCTTCTGCAGCCCACTCTCTTCCGATCGGAAACGCGGACGGAGACACTCTGATCTGTGGGCCGCTGGCCAGGCGGGAGGAGGCCCGGGTCCCCGAGAGGCCACCACCCCTCACGGGATCGGTGAACAGAGGCGCTCGCCCGCGGCCGGAGGCACCGTGAGAAATTCAGGAAAGGCTTCAGCGAGATGTCACGGCCGTGGGAAGCAGGAGCAGACAGAAGGACGGCGTCCGGGCTTAGCCAGGAGCGAAAGGCCTGGAACGGGGAGGACCTGGCGGCGTTCAGGACGCGCAGGGTCTGCACGGGCGCGGGGCCGCTACAGAGGTGCGGCGAGGAGGCGGGAGACCCGGGCAGCGCCTCCGTGAAGGGACGGGGGCCCTTTATAGGGGAATCTCAGCTATGACACAGATGAACCTGTCTGTGAGACGGAAACAGGATCAGGGCCTCGGGAACAGCCGTAGGGGTGCCAAGGAGGAGGGGTGGCGGGGAAGTTCGGAGCGGGAGGTTAGGGTTCGAAGATGCCAAGTATCACAGACAGGATGGACGAAAGACAGGCTCCTGCTGCGTGGCACAGGGACTCTGCTCATATCCTGGGATAAACCACGATGGAAAGAATGGTAAAAAAGAATGCTATGTGTACACGTTTAAAAAAAGAAGTTACAGATTGGCTTCTTAAAGAGCAAACACGCAGGACTTCCCTGGAGGCCCAGCGGTTAAGAAGCCACGCTTCCAGTGCAGGGGGCTCGGGTCCGACCCCTGGTCCGCGGACTGAGAGCCCACATGCTGCACTGTGCAGCCAAAAAACAATTAAAAATACATTTAAAATGTGAAAGTTTTGAACCTAGTTGAAACCTTTAAGAATCAAACTTAGGTGCAATTTTAAAATAAACACAGCTGTTAAATTAAATAAAAATTATGTTTAACCGAAAAAAAGGATTTGTTGCCTCCATCAGTGGTCTGGGATTTCAGTTTGAAAACCCAGTGTGGTTTTCAGAACTGAGACTCAAAAGCTGTCCTTTGCAGTGAAATGAATGCCGAGGCTGCTCCCAGCATTAAAAACAACAGGGAAGAGAAAACGAGCACATCGTACACCGTGGTGCGAAGCACAGTGTGAGTTTCATCTGTGTGGATGCACACAGCTACAGGCTGGACGCCCCCTCCCGGACCATGCATTTCCCACTGGGGTTGGTCGCTGTGGGTGGGACGCTGCTGTGGGGTGGGGGTCCCCACGCGTGGAGGAGGGCCTGGGGGTGTCCCCCAGCTCCTGGTCCACCCACAGCTGCTCTGCCTGCTGCAGGAGGCTGGGGGGGACGGCCTGCCCGCCCCTCAGGCTGCTGGCCTTTCCCGAGGCTGTTGGCTTCTGAAGGCTCAGCTGTGGCCTGCTGGGCAGCGGCTCTCACTGAGCGCAAAGCAGGTTCGCAGGAGGGAGGGTGGGCGTGTGGACTGGCTGCTTAATTAAAGCAGGGAGAGGTTGACAGGAGGGCCTGAGTGTTTGATCTCAGTCTCTGCTCACTTTCTAACTCGAGGGGGAAGAAACCGCCTACTCTGCCTTCTTCCATCTCTTCTTTCACCAGCCTGGCAGGTGCCGCTGGCGTCTGTCCGTCCTCCCCGAGCACCCTCCTCCCGTGTCTGGGAAGTCCTGGATTCAGGGTGCAGTTTACACACAGGTGCCGTTTGTTGGGGGGATTCACCGTTCACCCCCTTAAATGATCGTAGTCTTAACTGTCTAAAGTGTTTTCAAAGTGTATCTGGTTTCCCTACACACGACATGAAAGCATCTCACGGCAAAGTTTGGAAAACCTCCGGGCGAAAGTGGAAATTGGGTGAGAGAGTGGATTACCATTCCCTTCTCCAGGGGGCTCTTCCCAAGCCAGGGATGGAACCCGCGTCTCCTGCGCGGTGGATTCTTTGCCACTGGGCCGCCAGGGAAGAGCTTCCTCTGCTATCAAAACTGACCGATTTACAAGATCTTAATTGCAGCACATGGGTTAACCCTCCCAGAGATATCTGCGCAGTGTGGCGGTGTTTCTTTAATTTTCTACTTTGGAAATAATTATAGATCCAGAAGAACTTATAAAAGAAAGAAACAAATCCACAGGAGGTCCTGTGTACCTTCAGCCAATTTTCCCCAGTGACTACATCGTGGATAAATATGGTAAAATATCAACATCAGGAAAGTGGCGTTGGTACAGTCTGTAAAGTTTATGCAGATTTTGCCAGTTTTACCAGCTCTCATTCTGTGTGTGTGTCCTTCCATGCAATTTTATCACAGGCCTAGGTCAGTGCAGCCAGCACCTCCATCAAGATACAGGACCGCTCCATCGCCCCAAGGCTTTCTGGTGTCCCCTTTACATCAAGGCTCACCCTCTGTCCCATCCCTTACTTCTGGTAGCTAATAATCTGCTCCCGATCTCTGTAACTTTGTTATATCAAGAGTATCCCATACAAACAGAATCACAGCATGTAACCTACTACAACTGGGAGTTTTCAATTCAGCATAATTCCCTAGAGATCCATCCAAGCTGTCTGCACATCCATCTTTCGTTCCTTTTTTATCACTGAGCTGTCTTCCAGGGGTTGGACGTACCACAATTCACCCACAGAAGGACGTTTGGGTGGTTCCAGCTTTGCGTTGTTACAAACAAACCTGCTACGAACTTTCGTGTGCAAGTTTTTGGACGAACATGAGTTTCAAGTCTCTGAGTTGAACACCCAAAGTTATCACTGCTGGGTGGAATGTGTGCATGAGAACAAGGATCAATGCCTTTGAAACTCAAGGCTGTGGAATGCTGGAGCAAGGGGGTCAGACACAGCAGGGGAGGGGCGACATTTCCGAGCACCGGGTCCTGCTGGAACTTGTCCAATCACATCACAGGCTGTGGACTTCATGAAGACGGTGGGAGGTGCCTGGAATGTTCCAGAACCAGGTTTATGGAATCACTGTCTTGGACCCTAAAACATGGGCCTGCTACTCAGGGGGCCCAGAAAATGAGAGGCCAGGCAGCCCTCGCCCCAGCCCCTCTAGCCCTCCCCACATCTCGTTCATCCACACGACTCTCGCTTTATCCGAGGAGGGCCCTGGCTGCCCCCCAGTCACTTGCTGGTCCCACCACTGTCCCGTCATCGGCCCCTCTCTCCTTCCCTCTCCTCATCTGAATTCCAGCCCTTCGTCCTGGAAGCCTGCCCTGTCGTTCCCAGCCATTCCTGATTGCTCCACGCCTTGATCTTGTACTGGAAATAGTAAGTGGCTTTCAAACATTCTTTGAGTCACAGATCCCTTTGTTCAAAGGAAATTGTACCCAGAAATATACACAAATAAACCTGATAAAGGCAGAGCCCTCAGATTAAAGCTGGTGTGGGGCTGAGGAACCTCCTTTTTCATCCACACTCCTGGCCCTCCTGCCCACCCCACCTGCCCCTGGAAAAGCCTGGGTGCTTCAAAGCTCCCAGGGCACATGGCAGCACATAGCGGCTGCCACGGCTCTAAGGCCGCACCCTCGCTCTGGCTTCTGGGCTCTCTCGGGCTCTTTCTCTGCTTCCCCCACTCAGAGGGGAGTGTCTCACTGAGCTCTGGTCCGTCCTCCTGACGACCCACCATTCTGGGGTTGCTGGCTGAACTTGAGAGGCTGCCGCCAGGTGTCAGGCACCTCTCACGCCAAGGCAGGCTCCGCTGACGATGGCTGAGGGGTCCTGGGCTGGGCTCAAAGCCTGCAGGGGCCTCAGCTGACCGCCGTCTGTAGCAAGGCACTTAGCTTAGGCGGTGCCTAGTAGCTGTCTGGGCTTCTCCGGTGGCTCAGTGGTGAAAGAATCTGCCTGCCATGCAGGAGATGCAGGTTCGACCCCTGGGTTGGGAAGATCCCCTGGAGGAGGGCATGGCAACCCTCTCCAGTGTTCTTGCCTGGAGAATCCCATGGACAGGGGAGCCTGGTGCGCTATGGTCTATAGGGTCACACAGAGTCAGACACGCCTGAGCACGGCGCACACAGAAGCCGTCCGCACGCGTCTCACTCTGCTTTCAGAAACACGCATCCGATGCCGGCTGGGCACAGTGCTGGAGCCGCATCAGGAGCTGGCCCCGGGGAGCAATACGAGGCCCCCGCCCGAGAGGAAGAGGAAGACGGGCCAGGCTGCTGAGGCGGGGAGCAGGCAGGCGGGGGCCCTGCACCCGGCCCGCGGCAGGAAGCCGCCAACCGACTCCAAGACCAGCGCAGGACGAGGGACGCCCTGCCGAGGGCTGCCCCGTCCTCCCGGCCACACGCGAGCCCCGCAGCCCGGCTGGGTCTCACTGCCCCACGACGCCGGTCCACCTCCGCCCCGTGCCGAGCGCGTCCCGCACCTCCTCGCTTCACGGCCGACGAGCGCGGCCCGTGGGACCACGTTCAGGGGAGAAAACGGGGCCTCAGCCTCTCGGAGCCGAGAGCCACTGGGGCTGACCTCCTGGGTTTCTGACCCCGGAGCGCACACTGAGCCCCTGCTGGCGATTCGGGCTGATCGAACCGTCCTAACTGCTCCCTTTCCGCCCCACTCACTCCGGGTGAAGCTGGGCCTCTCAGGACCCCGCTTTCCGCAGAGTGCGACGCCCCCGCCGGGGGATCGCGCAGCTGCTGCAGGAGGCTCGCGTGTCCCCACTGGGGGCGGGTGGGGGGTGTGCTGTCCCCACGGTGAATCAACACGGGTGGGTGGTCACGCGGGCAACTCTGACTGTCATCTTCACCCCCGTCCCGGTGGTTTTTAACGCTTTCTTTTTTGTTGTTAACGCTTTCTTTACCGTTGTGGGCGACCCAGCCCGGCTCACGGGGAGCGGAGGAGGTGACGCAGGCTGGGAGCGATGTGGGGAGGTGAACCCCATGGGGAACCCCTGAGCCAGGGGACCGAGCCTGCCTTGGTCCGTGTCGGTCCTGTCGCCCTGCAGGCTCTGCAGGCCCCCGGGCTCGGGGACAGTGAGTGGGCCCTGGGCCTCCCCGAGGGGCAGAGTCAGGAGACACAGTAGACGAGACAGACAAGGGACTCCTTGCTGTTCCGTTGCTCAGTCGTGTCTTTTTGCGACCCCACGGACTGCAGCCCACCAGGCTCCTCTGTCCAGGGGATTCTGCAGACAAGAACATTGGAGCGGGTTGCCATGCTCTCCTCCAGGGGATCTTCCAGACCCAGGGATGAACCCGCATCTCCTGCAGGGACAGGTGGATTCTTTACTGCTGTGCCACCAGGGAAACCCTGAACAAGTAATTACAGGCATGCTACAAAGTACTGAGCACTCTGGAGTCTAGAATAGACAGGCAGGATGGAGGAACGGGGTTTGGAGGGTCGGGAGGCCTTTGTGAGGGTGACAGTGTTATAAAGGAGGGCCAGTTATAACATTGCCATAATGAATACGGGAGGCCTTGTGCAGAAGGTGTCATCTGA